AGGTCTTGAGCTCGACCCAGTTTATGGGTTCGTCTTTCTTTTCGGGCTTACAGTCCCATACTAGCATTTTTGTTGTCAGAGTATGCTTGATTTTCGTTTTCTCTGCTCTTTTTCTGCCTTGTTTTCCTTTCATGGCAGAAGATTGAGATGGTTCTTACCAGCATCAACTTCACCACCAAGAACAATCTTGAAACCCCCTATCCCCGTTCGGACGACGGAGCAGTACTGTGCTTTGTTGTTGACGATTTCGTTCTCACGACCCTCAATCTTCTCACGAGATGTAGCATCCCATGGTTCATCTATGAGCGATAGAGTTTCAAATTTATAGCCTGGCGAGCAATCGTAAAAGTTAACTGGAGCTCAAGGGGTAAGGGCAACGTGGGATTGCGCACCCCAAAACGCCATCATATCCTGAGAGGGAGCCCCGGGAGGCATCCTTTGATTTCGCTGCGATTCTTTCTGAGAGAGTTTATATGCATTGTTTTCTTCGATGAAGCTGGAAGTTGGACGGAGAGCATGTTAAAAAGGGGGTTGTAAACAATTATAAAGGGATTGTATGCCTGGGTTTTAACGACTTACATTGATTCCTATCATAATAATGGTTAGTGCACGGAAAAAAAAAGGGGGGGGGGGGGAGAGGGAAAACAGCAACATTTTAAATAAAAATATTTAAAAGGACAAAAGGCAAAACTCACTTGATAACATGTGGCATTCATCTCGAACCTAATGAAAAAAGGCCACCCTCAGCAACAAAGCCAATCCTCATTCCTCTTTTCCTCCCCTGAAAAGTACACACATGGCGCATGGAGAATCATATACCCATTCATGTTATCAAACGGCGCTGTCATTATCTTCTGAGCCCGTTAGTTCATCTTCTCCCAACTCTAGGTAGAAATACAAACACCCTTAGCATCCCATCTGCAAGGATTTCCCAGAAAAATTCATGCACAGGGCAAGATAAAACTATGAAAGAAAAGGAATAGAAACACACCTTTGTCATCATCCCCCTCCACGTAACTATGTCAGCCTCGCATTTGTTCCCCGTCCTCCTTTCCAGATCTATAATCGTATCTAGAAGCGCATCCAGGTGCTCATCGCCTGAGTCATCGAGCTTCTCGAAGGTGTCGAAGCCCTTGTTTAAATCTGCGGGTAGACGGGGAGGGTAATAGTAGCGCAGCGAGGATTCATCAAGGCGCAAGTTGTGCTGGTCGTCGTAGGAGAAGCATGCGATTTCCTGGAGGATTTCTCGTTAGAAGAGGAATATGTATATAGCAAAGAATTAACCGATTGGTTAAGAGAAAAGAGGGGACCTGGAATAACTTACCTTTGGCCTGCGAATGGCCGCGTTGGAGCCGACAAAGCGGGCGACGGGCTGGATATCGAATACATGTGAGTTCATTGTCGTTGGTTATTTAGGTAGTGATATGAATTGAAATTAATCATGCGGTCGGTAGATTTATATCAAGAGCATGTATAATCCAACAAAGCTCTAGATTCTATCCGCTGGATTGTGGGAAATCCACGCATTTATTAATTAAGTGTTTGTATATGTTGAAGGTAAGATGTTGGGTACCCTTTTTCGCTTCTGTGGTGTTGGATGATCCGTTCGTTCTTCGACGACAGCTCACTCTTCAAACTTCAGTCCTCATAAATATTATATTTACACCCAACCTATCTCTTACATTCTAATCTATACCGAACGACTTGAACCCACTCATACTCCTCCAACAATGATTTCTCTTCTATAACCCAGTCCCTAGTTCCGCTCATAGCTACGTACCAACAGTTGTCAACTTCCCACCAACCCACCGTCAGCAACCTCGTAACCACCAACCAACCCACTTCAACCTAAATAATTTAAATAAACCGCCATGACCTCTCGAATCGAAAAAACCATAATCCGCCAGCAAGAGAAGTAAACTCACACCCTCCTCTCCCTCTGACAATACTCAAAAACTGGGAAACCCCAACTAACATTCCCCCCAACCCCCTTCCCGCAGAATTGCCGCCGGCGCATATTATGAATCGCACCAACAACTCCGCGTCATCGCCGCCCGCTACCTCAAACAGTTTAACTACGATGCCGCCGCCGATATCCTAGCAGGCGGCGCAAAAGCACTGCTACATGCGCCCGGTGCCTCCGCGTCCGGCGGCGATCTGGCTATTATGTTGATTGTTGATGTGTATAATAAGGCGGAGTGGGAGGCGGTTCCTGAGGGGCAGGGTGATCTGGTGGGAAGGGGTAGAAAGAGTATGTCTTCTACATGTGTACAATCTAAGATCGATATTTATGTGTATACGGATTGGGATGGGAGTGCTGGGCTAACTGGCTATCTAGAGCGATTGATTGAGCTGCTACGCGAGTTTCCGCCAGAGGAGCCTACGAGGAGGAGATATATTAACGAGATGGTTGCGTGGAGTGCGCGGTTTGGAGAGCTGGAGAGGGGTGATCGGGAGATACATCATGAGGTTGGAGCGTTATTTGCACAGGGTACGTTTTTATATTTTATTTGCCGCCAATTTTCCACCCCTTGTTCTCTTTCATGCATTCCTTGCTTGTACGCTCCAGAAATACACCGCTTCTAACCTTCCTCTAAACTACACCAGAAAACGAACCCTACGACGCAGAACGCCATTTAGCCGTCGGCACTACGGACTCCGCAGAAACCCTTGCCCGTCTCGAGTACGAGTGGTACACATACGATGAACCCCACACCGCCGGCATGTACGCCTTGCGTGCCGTTATCCCCTACCTCCTCACCGGTAACCTGCGCAACGCCAACAAAGCCTTCCTAATTTTCACCAGCCGCCTCTCCTCACCCGTAGACCCCGGCAAAGCCCAAGCTCTAAATGTCCAGCAAGTCAGCAGCCAGAGCTCAGATGTGAATGTCTACCCTTCCCTGCCGCTTTTGAATTTCACAAGCCTGTTGCTGCTGGCTATCCAGCGCGGGTCGGCGGATTTGTTTAGGCAGTTGACCCGGCAGTATGCACACCATACTCGGGAGGTGGACGGGTTGGAGAGGACGTTGGCGTATATTGGCGAGCTGTATTTTGGAATTAAGATCCCGAAACAGTCTAATGCACTTATGGATATGATGGGGATGATGTTTGGGGGTGGTACTGGTCAGGGGAATAGTAGGAAACCGGGGAAACAGCAGAAGACCCCGGCGAAAGTGGAGGCGGCACCGCTGCCGCCGATGGACCTTGATTAAGGGACTAGGAGGGAAAGAGAGCCTTGTACAGTTGGAGGTTTATGATATCAAGTTACCAAAAGAGGGGGCGGGGGGTGTTTGGCCCAGTGGCAGCCCTTAGTAGCATGCATGTACGTATGAATGACCTAGACATGAAGTTCATCCTCGACCTCGTACATCCAGTTGTCCTCGTCCAGCGTGGCTATTTTTTCCCGTAGGCTCTGTTGGATAAGGAGGAAGATTTCTGTTTTATGTCCCGTTAGCAGTAGTTCATCCAGCAAGCATAACCCTTCTCTTTAGCTCGTATATCTGGAGAGGTATAATAACAAACCCACCAGGCGGTTCACTATGTAGCTGCCTACTGCGATTCCGACACATCATCTCCACAATACTAGCCTCAATCTCTGTTTCCAACAAGCCTCGTAGTCAGCCAAAAATATATGACCTTAAAATATAATCAAGCCCCATTATCGACAAAGGGCGAGGGGGGGGAAACATACTCTCCTTATCCCTCCACCCGATATCCCCCGTCCCTCCAACCCCACCCGCACCACCAGAAATCCCAACACCTGCTCCAATATCAACGTTCATCCCGGCTACCCCATCCTCGAAGTCCTCATCCCACATCCCCACAGGCAACGCAGGCACGTCAACCTTATACCCGCCATTCTTGTCACGGGCTACAATCTCGCTGCCATCCAGAGACGAGGACGAGGCGGAGCGGGGCATTTGGGGATGGCTTAGGCCGTATCCAAGCCCATGCCCTTGCGGGACGGTGAGGGGAATTGTCGGTGCAGCTCTAGAGGCGTTTGCGACGCGTGTAGTTGTAGAAGTGGTAACATGGACATTTCCATTAGCTTTTGCATTTGCATTGGCGTTGGCGTTGGTATTTCCGGCATGCACAGTTGACGCGGAGCTATGTGATCCGGCGAAGGTCGTAGAGGCCGGGCGGCGGCTGAGGTGCTGGTGCTGGAAGAGGTTGCGGCGGACAGAGGGCATTGTCCGTACGGTATCGGGATTGCTGGAGCTGGCTTGGTGAGTGGGGATTCCAGCTGTGTAAGCTGTAGGGGCGGAGGTGGAGACGGTGCGGCGTGAGGTTGCTGCAGCAGCTGTTGGGTGTGGTGGTGGTGGATGTGTGGTGGCGGTGGGAGCAGCGATGGCTGCGGAGGGGATGCGAGATTGTTGGGTGTGGCGGGTATGATGGTGGTGATGGTGATGGTGATGGTGATGATGAGACGAGGCCATTAAAAGGTGGTGATTTCATAATTAATGCTTTGTTTCAATTCATTCCCTCGGGATGAAGTTTAGGATTGGATGGACGTCATATTTGGCTAGCGGCTGGTTTGATGCGCTTGGATATTTGCAGGTGGAATGCGGGGAGGTGGTTAAATGAGGGAATGGGCCTTTTTTGTGAAATTGAGATCAATATAAATTGCTATGAGCAGGGAAAAAGAGCGAGTGTTGTAGATGAGGTGAGGATATGAATATTATTAGAGTGGTTAGCAGTTGAGGTTTGAAGGTTGAGGTTTGAAGGTTGAGGTTGAGGTTGAGGCGGCTGGTTTTGAAGGCTCCCAAGTTTTCGACAACATTCTTTAAGAATATGGTGGCGTTGCGCTAACAGCAACCACCTGCTGCGTTATTGATTGACCCGGAATACATTTGAGAAACCATTGTATAAATACTCGTCTGCAATGTTGGGTTTCTCTCAACACCCATCATGATCCTTATAACCTATCACTGTGAAGTCCAGTTTGACATGACAGGCCACTCTAAAAGCCTTACGTTGCCGGAAGTCCCCTGAAATAAATAAACAAATAAACAAATAAAACACAAACAATATACACAACTTTCACAACTCGATATATCTCTGAATTGACAGATAAACCGCAGCCTATCCAAGGCCATCGAGCTGTGCAGGACGCGAAGATTGCCGCTGTTATATGCGAACCGAAGCCTTTCGAGGGTTAGTAATTCTGCATATTCGCTCCTCTCCCACGAACCTAGAAGCATGACTGCCTCGCGGGGTATCATATATTGTGTGTATTTTAATTTTTTTTTATTTTTCTTCTCTTTCTATCAATCCTCACTATCCCAAGCCTCTCCCAGAACGACAACTCACTCTCTGATTAGACTACGTAATCGTGAATGGCACGACCTAACTTTTGCCCGGCAACAATGAAGGGTGGAAGATGGACCTTTGTTCGACTCACACACATCACACCACTGACAAGAGTCATCCGACACACCATTTCCAGCCTCCCTACCATTAAAGGCGCGCAGGTACGGACAGTATGGCGTGAGCATGTTTCGAGGCACGGAATTAACCTTAGCAGACGAAGATCCAGAAGAAGTGAATTATCGTGTTCCCATGGGAATTGTCCTGGCCCTGAACCGTGGATTGTGTTTTTCTTAAATTGTCGCGTTGTTCATGATCTCATAGGCCTTCGATTGCTTTCAGGAGATACTATGACCATCTACAAGTGAATAGGAGCTTGAAAATAACCGCTTTGACACTGTCTGGTTCATTGGAGAGGCATATTTAGCTCTATACTTCCCTCACAGCAACAGATCCGGAAATTATCCTGGCGAAGAATGAATTGCCCTTGAAAGGTCCTTGGACCTGTTTCTATTGCAATTGATTGCTGAAACACTGTGTATCTAAGGATGTACGCACGCGACGTGGATCTTTGAACTTTGCAGTGGACTTCTGCTCTCTCTCTCTGTCAGGAGAGTAAATATTCATCTGTCTCCATTCGTAAAATTGTCATCGTGAACTAGGCTACGTAGCTCAAACCACCCTTTGTCAAGAAGAACCCACCCTTCCCACAGCTCCTACCATGCATACATCTCTTGTGGGTTCGCCGTATCATCACGTAACAGGAGGCCATGACCAGTTATTTTAGTAGTTCTGGAAGCTGGAGAACCCAGCTTTGTATTCCATTTCACACTGGGATGAATGAATTTTGCTGTTTCCACACTATTAATAGTTTTAACTGCCAGAGGTAGCTATTTTTATAACTAACTTAAAACTGTCTGTTCAAACTCCGTCTTTGTTAGATAAGCGCGTGTTCACAGCTTGCCAACCCCAGCTCATTGATTGATTGATGCTCGTTTAGACGCAGACAGAGAACCAAGTCGGGCTGTGCAGTCAGCAGCAAGTTAGAACAGCCTTATTATACATCTCCTGTGACTGCTGTGATTGAACGGATCTTGTTCTTGCCAATGAGAACAGCTGCCCAGCTCACCTGGTAATTTCACCCTGTCATCGTGAGCAAAAACAGCCAGGAGCAAGATAAGATGCCGATGTCCGTTCTTTACCAGAGGGCAGTGAGGTAATAGTTCCCAGAGACAAAAACACTCGGGCTTTTCACATGAAAGGGTGGCCTGACTGATATTTAGCTTTTCCGTAGTGTTTTCGTCCGTCTTCGCGTCGTCGTCGTCGTCGTCGTCGTCGTCGTCGTCGTAGCAGTAGCAGTAGCAGTAGCAGTAGTAGTAGTTGTTGTTGTTGGAGAGATGCGGACAATGTTTTACCTATGATTAGCATTCGTTTGAGCGTGAGTCGTGCGAGCCGATGATGGACCCGATTTTCGGGGGTTAGGTCGTTAGGCTTCTGCTTGTCAAATGCTGTTGTTTTATATTGTAAGTTTGGGGCCCACTTCTTCAAAACCACGTTTCAACACTTGTCATCCAAAATCTTCCTCACTCGCTTATGAGCTAGTTTGATGTTTGCATGATGCAGTCAGTCAACTAGCTACCTACCACACATGTTGCTAATATATCTCACCAACCTCAACAGCTGGGGTTTGGAGAGGGGGGGAGGTTGGGGTAGATTAGGGTTGGTTAAGGGTTGGGCGCCTGAGAAGTATGGTACAATCACTGCCGTCGAGGACATAATAGAGAAGACGTGTGTGAGGCATGTGTGAGGTATGACTCGTTTTGGTATGTAGTCGAGGAGAGGATTCAAATGGCTCAGCCAATACAGTCCCTACATATTTAATATGTTCTATCTATTGGCTCACTCATCGTTTCCCCACTCTGAACCTTGATGAGTCACTATAGTTTGATCCACTAGGAGGCATGAAGCTCGCAGAAAGTAGCGGAGAAAGACATAGCTAGTACGTATATCCCTAGTAAATCTGCTCGCTCGAGAGACATCCCCAGGAACACGGATTTCTTATATGAGAGCACATAACCGCAGGCAAAACGTCACGATATACTGATGAAAATAGCGTCAACAAGAGGAACTTATTCCGTTTCTCTTAATTCTATACAATATTAGCTATATTTCAGCTGATTGAAAACTATAATTACATATCTAATTCTAAGCAGGCATTGTTAGAAAAGAAAGGAAAAGATGACGTAAACTTGAACTGTTAGTTAACTAGTCAATTGCTAGCTTTATGCTCCTAGCAGAAAATATCATCTCAGACTTTAATTTTCTGTCAAATAAAACAGCGATTTACTTTTTGACCAAAGCTTATGTATATATACATACAACATATATATATATTTATATATATATAAATATATATATAATTTAGAAGATTGTTTTACCAATAGTTTTGATTTTGTATATTATATTGAATTTTGAATCCTAATTATTAATACCCAAACTTTACTCTCGTTATAGAAAGCAGTTAAAAGGCCACGGCGAGTTCAAACTACTTGACGTATATAAGCTTCTGAGAGAGAAGTTTTGTCAGTAGCCTTTTTACGCGTTATCAAGGGTTGACTCATAAACTATCATCTGGACAGTTGACTTTTTCATGAAGTCATGTCTATAATGCCTCTGCTCAAAGGATGTGACTTGTGTGCGATGCAATGCAAGAGAAGCAGAGCCAACCTGGAAGGTCTCGTAGCAGGGTGCTCGCAGTCGCTCAGTCGCTCAGTTATTCGTTATAGTTGGTTATCCGTGCAGAGGAAGTCAGCGGCCAAAAAGGAATGGCAGAGGGTTGAATAAATGAACCCAACACCGTATCAACAAAATACACCAATAAAACCTCGCTAAGATGCGCCACTTCGACAGACTGCTTTTCCGGCCGAGATTTTAAAATTACGCCCAACCGTACCGCCCCCCTCAGCCACTGGAAAGAATTTTTCCAGCTGGATTTGCATGGCAAACCATGTTCAAACTCACTCCCAAAGTCTGGGGTAGGTAGGGCGTCCAAACCCCTGGACGGGGGCTTTCGGGAGAAGGGATCCCTGGAACTTCGCCGGGTTAGCGGGTGGCTTTACTAGAACTTAGGGCTCAGCCCAGTTAAGCTTTAGTTAAATCCCACCCAAAGATTCGGGAGGTCGCCCGTATGGTATCGGCTCGGTAATCTAATTTCACGGAGAGGCAAAACGAGCGCAGAAAACGTCCGCTGTCGCGTATCAAGTGTAAATAGCCGGTATTTCCAATACAGCTGGCAGTTCAGAGGGTTACCGTATCCGCCAATACAGGGCGGGCCAGCAATTTATCACCGGCTGCTCCCTTCATAATGCGGGATAGCCAGCCCATGCCAGACGGGGCAGACCGACAAGGGAAAATTGTTGGAGACGACTTAAAAGAGCCAGCCGGTGGAAGAGAATGAATGGATGGAAGTGCACCTGCGAACCATCATCCGAGAATTTCAGTCAAGCAACCCTGACTGAACATTGTATCTCGCATGTTTCTTCCCCCCCCCCCCCCCCCCCTCTTTTTTCTCTCTCACTCTCTCACACACACACAAACACACACACACACACACACACACACACACACACACACACACACACACTCTCTCTCTCTCTCTCTCTCTCTCTCTGCCTGCTTGGGAGCTCAGCTCAACTTCCATAGTTGGCTTACTAGATTCTTATCTTCTTATCCTTCATTGATGCATGTATGCAATCGCCACGCAAGATCGGCCATCTTCTCCTGAACAGGGAAAAAGAAGAAGAAGAAGAAGAAGGAATCAACTACGTAGATTATCTCTTCTCGTTGCATCATTCACCCCCATTTTCTCAAGCCGCAATGTCTCAAGTGGGCGAGCTGGTGGCTCCGTGCTCACCTCCGCCGGAGAAACCTTTCACAGAGAAAGCTCATGTCTGCTCATACTCAGGCTGCAACAAGAGATTCACGCGCGCAGAGCATCTTCGACGGCACGCATTGAACCACAAGAATGAAGACAACACCTGCGAGAGATGTGGTGTCCATTTCAATAGACCGGATTTACTGGGTATGCATTCGCAGCCTACCTATGCTCAACTCACTCCCACAGCACGTAAGCACTTAAAAGCGCGTTGCTTGTGCTAACCATTTTCCAAATCCCACAGGAAGGCATCTGGCGCGCCATGCAAAGAGGGACGAGGAGGCTGGCGGCCCTGGACTGGGTGTGCTCGAAACCCGCAAGAGAACCCGCCGCGGGCCCGATGGCACTATTATCACACGGCCAACCAAAAAGCAAGCCCGGGCGGCAATGGCAGCCAGATCCATGGCTTCGACAGTCTCCTCCATTCCAGCCTCTGATGGCAAGAATTCGGCGGCTGCGCAGATTCTGTCATCGTCATCTTCATCTTCAATTCGAAGCTTCAATCGCAATAGCGTTAGCTCCCATGATACTCCAGATGGCGTGTCAGCTCTCACCACGCCGCCTTCCATGAGCAGTGACATGAATTATCATGGCCTGGATCACGGTGCTGTTTCCTGCGCACCTGTGTCCCCGCCTACCTCTGCACATCACTCGTGCTCGAGTGTCAATTTGGATAGTGGTCCACGCGATACTACCTGTCTTCCAGTTGACCATTCAGATCCGCTTATAGCGCCCATGATGCCGGGCGGGCCGTATGAGCCGTATGTCGAGCCAATCCCTGGCCAGTTTGATGCCGCAGATGGTTCGTGGCAGCCTCAAGATCCAGGACCCAACCCGGACTATGAGGATTTATTTGATTTAGATACTGGTATGTATCTACATTTCATACGAGGGTGGTGGTGAGATACCATTTACCCACCCGTTCCTGTCAGATGTTTTTCCAAAACGCAGAAAATCGGATGAGCTGAAAATTGCTACACTTGTGAAGTTCTAACATTTTTTTTTTCTTCTTTCTTTTTCTTGAATTTGTAGCAACCTCCTTCAACATGCCCTTCGCCGCTACACATAACTACAACTGGCTTTTCGATGTGCCGTCCCTGGATGACGCCTTCAACCATAATGACCTCTTTCTGGCCATGGACATCGTGAATTTTGCAGAACCAGTCCCTGACATGTGGTCGCAGCCACATCAGCGCCATGAGGAATTTTTAAACCAACCTCTCTATTCATCAGCAAATGCAGGAAACGTGGATTACCAAGGAAATCCGCAGTACAACGAGGCGATGACCGATAATTCGGACAGCAACTTTATCTCCGGCTCCCGTGGCGCGCTTTCTGGGGGTGTTCCCAGCGCAGAAACTCCTGTAAATCATGGTCAACCGACCCCTGAGTCCGCCCGGAGTTCCACTACTCAACCCAATGTTTCCGATCAGATTCCCACATCTAAATTCAGCGACATGGATTGGATGGGTCAAAACACCCCTATGGAAATTGTTTCTCAGCGGTTGCCACAAATAAGTGAAGCTGCGAGAGCTGGATTACTACATATGATCTCCCAGTTACAGCCGATGACTGTAGAAGGAAACCGAATCGAGCTCTCATCACCCCTTCTCTCCATCAACGCCCTCCAAACGTATAGTGATCTTTTCTTTACGAAATTCAATACGTTTTATCCACTAATCCATCAGCCAACCTGTGATCCGGACCGAATTGACAAATTGCTTCTTGCTGCCATAATTTCAATGGGAGCTACCTACAGCAGCAGAGAGGCGCATCAGCTAGCTGTCGGAATGCATGACTCCTTGCGGAATCAACTGTTCTCTCATCCATCTTTTTCATCACAGCCCGATCTATGGGTCCTTCAAGCCATGATTTTAATCGATTGCTTTGGGAAACAACGAGCTGGCCAGAAGCAGCGTGATATGTCTCAATTATTCCATTGTGTTCTCATCAAGCTCATCCGCCGAAGCACATGCCCTATCACCCGAACTCAGCCTCCTGTTCAACGGCCGGACGACCTCGACTCCGCCTGGAAGCATGCAATGGACCTTGAGCAGAGAAAACGGCTTGCCATGCTTTGCTTCATGTGGGATACTCAGCATGCGGTACTCTTCTCTCAATCCCTTTGCATGTCAGCTTTCGAAATCCGGTCCTCCTTGCCATGCGATAGCGCGACATGGGAGGCCAGGACAGCAGAAGAGTGGTTCGAGCACGCCCGTACGGAGACAACGCACAGTCCATTCCTGTCCGTGCTGAAAGCATATATTACCCCCAACACCACTCGCCGCCCACGACACCTGAACGCATTGTCCAGAATAGTCCTCCTCCACGGCCTAATGTCCATTGCCTCAGATCTCAGACGTCGTGACCAAACAACCCTCCGCTCCGAAACCCCTAACCTAGTCGGCGCTTGGAAAGCCCGTGTCAGCCGCTCCTATGACCTGTGGAAATCCGACTTCGACGCAGACTGCATGACCATGAAACTCAGCCAGGCCTCCGATCCGCGGAAATTCGTGGGCCTGAAAACAGCCACGCACGTCTTGTATCACGCAGCCCACATTACGCTCAATGTCGAAGTGCTCGATTTGCAGATATATGCTGGCGCCCCGCATATTCTGGGCCGGGTGGTGACGGCGGGTGACTTCGAGAGATCGCAGCGGGTTGTCACGCGGTGGTTGAATGAGGATCCGCGCTCAGCAGCGAAGGCGACGAGGCATGCTTCGTATATTCTGCAGGATGCCATTATGAACTTGAACGATTGGGACGAGACGGACGTTTTCCATTACCCATGGTGCCTGTATCTAGCTACGTTGACGTGTTGGGCATTCCATCTGCCTACGTCCTCGTCCTCGTCCTCGTCCTCATTGTCATCGCCCCCTTCATCATCGGTGGACAGTGTGCCAAATAGTGGACAGCAGCAGCAGCAGCAGCCGCCCAAGTCTCCAAACATGTCTGGTTCCACCTCCACTTCCCTGACTGCCCGCAATAAAACGACCACCCTCGTCGTAGCGATGACGACGTGCAACACGCTCGAAGAGCTGTCCGCGCTCGCGGGGAAGTTCGATACGACCGGTTTAACATCCATCATGAGTCAGCAGCTGGCTAGTGTGCGTTGGGCGGTGGTGCATGATGCTATGCAGGTGCTGGTGAATTTATCGAGCAAGGGACCGGGGAAAGGGTGATTGGCACTGCACCTTGGTCATTTTAATTCTGTCGTTCTGGATTTGATACCCTCTGTCATTTTGATTTTGGTTCTTCCGGCAGGGGTAAGCTAGGGAATCGTGATTAATTTTTAATGGAAAGTTAGTCAAAAGGGGGAGCGAGTGGGTTGGGAGGTATCATACTAGTGTTTTTTTTTTTTTATTTTTTTTTTTTTGTTCCTGGTTCAACCATCAAACTAATGGGTAATAAGGCCGGTCACTTGTACATACATACTTGTACTATGAATCGGCGTTTCTGGGACTTGGGATGGTTTTGATGAATGATGGCTGCATGCAACGCGAGGTGGTCTTTACTCAACGTGTCGGTTTCTCACCGGAGTGATAAGGGGACATTATTACCTCACGACATGGGAAAAAAAAAGGAAAATAAACCTATAATGAAATATGTGTTTTGACTCTTTTCTATCCTTACTACGAAGAAGCATTTCCTATACTTGTGCGAATATTTGCCAATTAATTAATTTGGAACGGTCGTAAGGATATCGACGACGGTTAAGGGAAGACGAGGTGAGCATTCTAGAGAGGCGGTGAAGGTCAATGCAGGACTCCGCTACTATGGCTGATACTTGTGGCTCATATAACTGTTATTATAGGATGAAGTGCATGCAATTTGTAAAGAATGTAAGTAAATAATGACTTGAATTCCAAGAAAGCAGTCGGCGCATAACACGCCGACTTCTACTAAAGTATTAGACTGTCTATATACAAATATATCAAAAGATGAAAAAATAATTAAGTAAATAAATAAAATATAAAAACTTACTACCCATCCTGCATTACCACCACAGCAAAACTCAACCAACCTGCCTCTCCGCATTTACCCCCTGCTTTATTTATAAAACGGATAATCCGTATAGCCCTTCTCTGACGGAGTGGCCCCATAAAATGTACTCCGGTCATACTTATTTAGCTCAAGCCCATCCCTCAATCTCTTCACGAAGTCAGGATTAGCCAAAAACAAGCGTCCAAACACCACCGCATCGGCCCCGTCGCCCTTCAACTTGGCAGTGCAGTTCTCTCTCTTAAAGTTCCCCGCCGCCAACAGCGCCACCCCGCCCTTCTTCAGCGGCTGCCGGAAGTGATCGAGCGAGTAATCATTCTTTTTACCCGCCCCGCCCTCCGTCGTGGCAGCCAGCGCTGCCAACTTCGCCTCCTCGTCCAGCACCTCGTCGAACCGCGGCTCGATCATGTGAACATACGCAGGCCTGCTCGCCGCTGGGAGCGCCGCGATCTGTTCGCACAGATACATCCAGTGCTTGTTGGGGTTCGAGTCGCGAGTGTCCTGGAAGTAATTGTAGGGTGACAGCCGGATGCCAACGCGGTCCGCGCCAATGGCCGCGGTAACGGCCTGGATGACCTCGAGCGGGAAGCGGGCGCGGTTGGCGATGCTGCCGCCGTAGGCATCGGTGCGGACGTTGACGTTGTCATGTAGAAATTGGTCAAGGAGATAGCCGTTTGCCCCTGCAGAGTCGATGTCGAGTTGAGCGGAATGTTCGGAGATATAAGTATATAGGTGGGGGGTGAGTAAAACCGGGGATATGAAAACTGGGTATGAAAACTAACCATGGATCTCCACACCGTCGAATCCGGCCTCCAACGCCCGCTTTGCCGCCGCTGCGTACTCCTTTACTAGCTCCTGGATCTCCTCGACGGTTAGAGCCTTGGGGGGGAAGTCGGCATATTTAGAGCCGTCCAGTGCGTTTCCGGATATGGGAATTGTGGAAGCGCTGACGGCGGGCTTGCCATCGAGAAGTGAGGGAACAGTGGCACGGCCAACGTGCCAGAGTTGGCAGTAGATGAAGCCCCCTTTGGCGTGTACGGCGTCTGTGACACGCTTCCAGCCACTGATTTGTGAGGAGGTGAAAATGCCAGGGACACCCGGGTAGCCGGCGGCCTGTACGTATGTAGTTTCTCATGTCAGTAATTGGCATGAAAATTTGTATCCCAAATCATCATTATTTTTGCGATTCTATTGGTATTTTGATAATTTCCCCCCCCCCCCCCCCCCCTCCCCTCTCTATTTCTCCCTTTTTACTTCAGGATTCCGCCTCTCTTTCTTGCTTTTTTTTTTTTTTTTTTTTTTTTTTTTTTTTTTTTTTTTTTGCTGGAAACTCACAAGTCGACTAATTGGTGTCGCTTCTGTCAGCAGGAAGCCGCCTTTGGTGGCTCGCTGTGAGTAGTATGTGACATTCAGATCGTTTGGAACATACACGCCTTCAGACTCTTTTGTTGAGCGCATGCGCGTGAGGGGTGCCAAGACTATTCTATGTTCAAGTTGGAGCGCCCCGAGCTTGAGAGGCTTGAACAGCGCTGTGTCTTTAAGAGGGGCAAAGGAGGCCATTGTTGTAGAAAATGTCTTTTTGGATGTAGTGAAAAATGAGAGGACAATGCTTTCTTCTTCTTCTTCTTCTTCTTATTCCTTGACTAAAAAAGAGATTAAACGAGAGGAAGTGGAGATGAAGAAGAATCGGGAGTAGAAAAATCAAATCGACTAACTCTTTGCCTTTGTAGCCTAAGTATATCTACCACCTATTCCTCTTGTCCGCCGCTGCAAACTCCTTTCCTCTCAAGTATTGTCCCAGCTCCGTCCCCGCCCACGCCATCTCCGGAGCGCAAGCATAAAATATACCTAGCACGTTACACGACCAAGGTGGGAGAGGCTCTTTATGGCCCCCCCCTCTTCCTCTTCTCCATACCGTGCCAATTCCACCCCGCCTGCCGGTCTGTTCTGCCGCTTCACAGCCATGATACACCCCACTATGCGGGCAAAACATCCTCTGGCAAAATGAAGAATGGCGGGCGATTGCCACAGTTATCTCGAAGAAGTTCTGTGGGTGGGAGGGAGTAAGATTCGCCCCAGAGTGCTCCACAACAAGCGTCGGAACGGTGTCTCACTTGATTGGCAAATCCAGCTGGCAACAGTGGAAGCACGCCATCATTTCAGTGCAACTCTTTCAGAGTGGGATAAAGTGCTCCGCGCTGCCACCTGTGGTTTCACGGAAGAGTGGCTTTGATCTAGGTAACATCGATTGCGGTTTGGAGATGGAAGAACCGTAGAATCAAGCCCAGGAAATTGCCCTGGCCCTTTGCCCTAATTAATTAGCCCCAAACCCTAAAAGCAGCGGCTGTTATTGGACAACCCCACCCTTGGATCTGCCAGTGCTTAGTCATCAGTCGCGAACGATGACGCGGGCAGCTTCAAGAGTGGGGGAAGGAGGTTTAGCTGGACCCCTTTTGAATTAGTTAAGTGACAATACCTGTTGGGAAGATGAACATGAACCTGGTCCGGGAGCGAGCGCATGTACTTCGCAACATGGGAGGAACCCTCGGGAGGCTGGCTGGCTACCAACTGATGGATTTATTGGCTTGTTTTGGGGGCGGGGGGGGAGGAACAAAGCCAGTTTGATAGTTACTTCCCACCCCCCTTCCCCCCCCGGGCGGCGGGGCCGTTGGTCTCGCCGTGGTCTCTTGGGGGCCACCCAGTTTTGTCAAGATGTGTTTGTTTAATGGGCTGGGCCCCCCTATAACTTAGGTAAAGATCAGTTAATAATCATCGCCAGCTAGTTAGTAACTTGGGCGTAAAAACTACCGTAGTTAGGTAATAGTTCAACCATCTGCTTAACTAGTTGCTCAGAGCCCCTCGTTTCTCATTTATACCTGGTGGCAAACCGGACTGGACCTTTAAAAAAGTCCTTGTTCTGTCCTGTCCTTAATTACTGTATTTATTTGTATTGGAGCTGCCGCCGGCGTTGGCATCTATTCATCAACACCATGGGGCTCCCCGTGCCAAACGAGAATGTGCCCTCTATTCCTGCCGACGAGGCGCTTCAGGCTCTCGTGAAATCCACATATACCAGCTCGAGTTTGCATTTTTACCTGAACGGCACCAGGGTCGAGTTGCAAAATCCCAACCCTCACTGGACTTTGCTGGACTTTATCAGGTCGCAGCGTGGGCTGAAGGGAACCAAGTTGGGGTGTGGCGAGGGCGGCTGTGGGGCTTGTACGGTGGTGCTTCAAGTAAGAGACGCTAAGAATGCGAAGAGAATCAAGCATCTGTCGATAAACGCTTGCTTGTATCCTTTGGTGGGAGGTGAGTTTTCGTACTTTCTTGAACCCTAGATTATTACATTGTTTCGTCCTCGTCTCTCTAACGGAGTTTCTTCTGGCAGTTGTTGGGAAACATGTCATTACCGTCGAAGGGCTGGGGAGCGTTGAGAAACCTCATCCATTGCAGGAACGGATGGGAAAACTTCATGGCTCCCAGTAAGTCTTGTTTTTGTCGTTGGAGCAAAGGGGGTCAAACCGCCCGATTACTAAATTTCCCTTATAGGTGTGGGTTCTGCACGCCCGGTATAGTAATGTCGCTGTATGCCATTATCCGAAATGCGTATGATCCAGAAACCGGCAAGTTTTCGTTATCTGAAAATGATATTGAAACGAAAGGGCATCTGGATGGGAACCTGTGTCGTTGTACGGGATATAAGCCGATTATCCAAGCCGCTAAGACATTCATCATTGAGGACCTTAGGGGCCAGCTGGCGGAAGGCGAGAAGTCTTCTCTGGTTGAAAAGGAAAAGGACAGCGATAGCCAGGATGCGACGTATCTACAAGCCCAATTTGCTGGGGCCTCCAAGCTGTCGAGTCGCTCGTGCGGAAGACCCGGGGGATGTTGTCGTGATAACCCGCAGATGAAATCCTGCTCCTCAGACTCTGAAGGGTCCTATGCCACCTCGGAAGAGGACAACAAAAGCTCGAAGAGCAGTCTCTCTGAAGACATCCAGTCGCCTGCCGCAAAGCCTATCCCTCAGATTAAATTCACTGAGTATTGTCCTTCTTCAGAGTTGATATATCCTCCAGCACTCTCGAAATTTGTCGACTCCCCCATATGCTATGGTGATGAGAAGAAAATATGGCTCCGGCCAACAACTTTGCAACAACTGATTGACATCATGACTGCGTATCCGTCTGCAACTATCGTTAGTGGTGCAAGTGAGATCCAAGTTGAGATACGTTTTAAGGGCTCACAATTCGCCGTTTCTGTGTTTGTTTCAGACATCAAAGAGCTAACCACACTGTCTGTTCCCACCGATTTGTCTAAAATGAACGAACTTGTCATCGGTGGGAATACGTCTTTGACTGAAGTTGAAGATACTTGTTATGACCTTTGCTCAAAGCTGGGACAAAGGGGCTCCGTTTTTAGGGCCATGGCGAAGGTTCTAAGATATTTTGCCGGTCGCCAAATCCGAAATGCTGCTTCACTCGCTGGAAATATTGCAACGGCGTCCCCTATATCAGATATGAACCCGGTCCTTCTTGCTGTTAATGCAACTGTCGTCGTCCGGTCTGCGAAGGAGGAGCATTCCATTCCAATGGTGTCGATGTTCCGTGGGTACCGAAAGACAGCGATACCACAGGGTGGTATCGTCACTCATATTCGCATCCCCGCCCCCCCCGAGGGTGTGCGCGAGATCACGAAATCTTATAAACAAGCCAAACGAAAGGACGACGACATTGCTATTGTCACAGCCGGCTTCCGCGTTCGATTAGGTGACGATGATACTGTTAAAGATGTCTCGCTGGCATATGGCGGAATGGCTCCAATGACGGTTTTGGCAACACAAACTATCAAATATTTGATAGGAAAAAAATGGACCACACCTGAAACCCTTGAAGGAGCACTTCAAACTTTGATCGAGGATTTCCAACTTCCTTATAGTGTCCCAGGAGGCATGGCTGTCTATCGCAGGACGTTAGCTTTGTCTCTTTTCTTCCGTTTCTGGCATGAAGTGATTGCCGACTTCAAGCTTGGAGAAGTGGATAGCGGACTTGTTGAGGAAATCCATCGTGGTGTCACCTCGGGATCAAGAGATAACTATAACCCACACGAACAACGCGTTGTTGGCAAGCAAATTCCACATCTGGGAGGTTTGAAACATGCTACTGGAGAGGCAGAATATGTCGATGACATGCCTCATTATGAAAATGAGTTATATGGGGCACTGGTTCTGTCGGGAAGAGCCCATGCAAAGGTCGTCTCCGTGGACTGGACTCCGGCTCTTGCTCCTGGCTTAGCCCTTGGATATGTGGACAGACACAACGTTGATCCTGAAATGAATTTTTGGGGATCCATAGTAAAGGACGAGCCCTTCTTCGCGCTCGATGAGGTGCACTCACACGGCCAGCCAATTGGATTGGTGTACGCAGAGACTGCGCTGAAGGCACAAGCTGCCGCAAAAGCTGTCAAGGTCGTTTATGAGGATTTGCCTGCTATCCTGACTATCGACGAAGCCATCGCAGCCAATAGCTTTTTCAAGCACGGGAAGGACCTTCGCAAGGGAGCTCCTCCGGAAAAAATGGCGGAGGTATTCGCGAAATGTGACAGAGTCTTTGAGGGAACTACTAGGTGTGGAGGCCAGGAGCATTTTTACCTGGAGACAAACGCTGCCTTAGTTATTCCTCACGCTGAGGATGGCACGATGGATGTTTGGTCCTCGACTCAAAATACGTAAGAAATCCCTTTTTTAAAGCATTGTTCTGTCAGTTTCTAATGGTTTCGCAGGATGGAGACGCAGGAATTTGTCAGTCGCGTTACGGGAGTTCCGAGCAATCGCATCAATGCAAGGGTGAAACGGATGGGAGGTGCCTTCGGAGGAAAAGAGTCTCGAAGCGTCCAACTAGCATGTATTCTTGCTGTAGCTGCGAAAAAAGAACGACGACCCATGCGTGGCATGCTGAACCGTGATGAGGATATGATGACGAGCGGACAACGGAATCCAATTATGTGCCGCTGGAAGGTTGGAGTTATGAACGATGGAAAGCTCGTGGCCATCGATGCGGACTGTTACGCAAATGCCGGATACTCCCTAGATATGAGCGGAGCTGTCATGGATCGCTGCTGCACCCACCTTGACAACTGCTATAAGTTCCCCAATGCTCATATTCGCGGGTGGGTATGCAAGACCAACACAGTCACAAACACGGCTTTCAGAGGCTTTGGTGGTCCACAGGCTATGTTTATTGCTGAAAGTTACATGTATGCCATTGCGGAGGGCCTGGGCATGTCAGTCGATGAGCTTCGCTGGAAAAATTTATATAAACAAGGACAGCGGACCCCGTTCCACCAAATTATCGACGAAGACTGGCATATTCCCATGCTTCTTGAGCAAGTCCGAAAGGAAGCCAGATATGACGAGCGCAAGGCTGAAATTGCCAAATTCAATGCCAGAAACAAGTGGAAGAAACGTGGTATCTGTATGATACCCACTAAATTTGGTCTTTCGTTCGCCACAGCAATCCATCTTAACCAGGCCAGCGCATCCGTGAAACTGTATACTGATGGCTCCGTCCTACTCAGCCATGGCGGAACGGAAATGGGACAGGGCCTGTACACCAAGATGTGTCAAGTTGCAGCTCAGGAATTGAACGCACCTTTGGAGTCCATTTATACACTGGACACGGCAACATATCAGATTGCTAACGCTTCTCCCACGGCTGCATCGTCTGGAAGTGATCTCAATGGCATGGCAGTGAAGAATGCCTGCGACCAGCTCAACGAACGTCTCAAGCCCTACTGGGACAAGTTTGGCAGGGATGCTCCGCTATCAAAGATTGCACATGCTGCGTATAGAGATCGGGTAAATCTTGTTGCGACTGGTTTCTGGAAAATGCCCAAGATTGGCCATCTATGGGGTGATTACAATCCGGCAACCGTCAAGCCGATGTATTACTACTTCACTCAGGTATGCTCTTCTTACTTCATATATTTTTCCTTTTACGTATGGGGAGAATGAAAGCATTTCCTGTCATTTTTAGGGGAGTGACTTACCATATCTCAATTTTATAGGGAGTGGCTTGTACCGAGGTTGAACTCGACCTTCTTACGGGAGACCACATCGTCCGACGCACCGATATTAAAATGGATGTCGGTCGTTCAATTAACCCAGCCATTGATTATGGGCAGGTGGAAGGAGCCTTTGTCCAAGGTCAAGGGCTATTCAGCATTGAAGAGTCACTCTGGGACAGCAAAACCGGCTATCTGGCAACACGCGGCCCTGGCACGTACAAGATCCCCAGCTTCAGTGACATCCCGCAGGAATTCAATGTCAGCTTCCTACAGGGAGTATCATGGAAACACCTCCGGTCCATTCAGAGTAGTAAAGGCATCGGAGAGCCACCGCTGTTTTTAGGTGCCACTGTCCTGTTCGCGCTGAGGGATGCACTGCTCAGTGCCAGAAAGGATAATGGGGTTACCGAACCGTTGATGCTGGACAGTCCAGCAACGGCGGAGAGGTTGAGATTGGCTGTTGGGGATCGATTGGTGAAGATGGCTGACGTGGTGAAAAAGGAAGGAGAGAAGACTTTCTTCGTTGCTATTTCTTAAGATTTATAATTATATATGTATGTATATATAGAGTTATGTGGGTTGACTCTGGGGGTATCCAATTTAAGCTCGAATTTAAATTGGCTCATATAGTTCGGAAATTTCTCGCCGAGACAACGCGCCGAGACAACGAATGATATTTTGACACCTGCATCTATAAATATCACCGTCATTGCTTGGATAGTCAGAATGAAAACCATCCTTCAATTGTCGAGTATGCATTGATTTATCAAAATGGTCAACAGTAGTGGAACCCATTAAACACAGACCAAAGCAACTGAAAAAGAACGAAAGCAAAAAGAGGGGGAAAAAATAAATTGCTCCGGGCTTAATCCAATGCGGTCCGGATCAATCGGATACATATTGAAATTAAGACAGCTAAATCAAGACTCATGTGCGTAATCCAATGGAAGCTGACGTACTGCCCGTATGGCCCCGGCAAAATACGGCCCCCGCTGCGTCTGACAACCGCATACATCCGACTTTCTGAGCAGTCAAAACGCCACCTAGGACGATCCGGACCTTCCAGAATGTTTGATTTAGAAGCGAAAGGCCACACTTATAGTAAGGGGCGGGCTCAGAGAGCCGAACAAATGACGTGAATCAAATTACGCAAGACGCAATGGCAAGTGCTGTCCATTTACCTGGTAGGACACCGCCGTAAAACAAATCATAGAGGAGAATCGGACCCGGGACCAAATTGCGGAAATATTCTGCCGCTTGAGGAAGAAAGACGTCTCCGTGAAGGTACGGACGGCAATTTCACCGTTGACGCAAAGGAAGTCCCTGCATTTGTTGTTCGAGAACGGTGCTGTGAAGAATTACCTGCTCCTAGTCAAGTTCCAGCCCTCATCAAGAGAGGTCTTCTGAAGGCCATGCTTTTCTAGTGATTGAGGTCTCCGCCTGGATCTCCTGAAAATCTGCTTTGAGTTTTCGCTTCAGCGTTGGCGAACGATTGCTTCACCAGCTAAAGGGCAGAGTCACCTAAAAGCTCAGTTGCTTTCTGGTACGTACTATGCGCGTTGTTCGCCTTGTCGCGCTTCAGCTCCACATCCCGGCGTTTTACCCATGTTTTGACATAATGGGAATCAAGTAGGGCCGCGTCGGTTGCACCTTTGGCTGCTTCTCCGTAATTTCCTAAATGATAACACACGGCTGCTCTGCTCAAGCAGAAAACAACGTTTAGATGGTCAATATCGATGGCGTTCGTGTACAGATCGATTGCCAGTTGAAATCTTTCGTTTCCTTTGTTTCGGAAAGGGCAGTGGCAAGCACGAACCTCTATTGCCAACTTTGCCGGCTGCTCGTATCATGAATTTAGAATACCTGAAATGCTATAAGCAAGTTCCCCCTGCAGCTCCTAATCAGTAGGTACGGTATTGGTGGTGTTAGCTGGCATATGTAATTTAGGGCGACTTTCACACCATCAAATTCAAACCTGTATGTCAGAAATGGATCATCATAATCCCATTTCCCAAAACCTCAATATGGCGCTCTTTGGCAAAGATCTAGAGGCTCTTTCAGCGTATCTCCTCCCATTTTTGATCTTGAAGACACAAGACCAAAATAGGCCGTCTATAGGCCGGTGCAGCTTCTTGTCAAACATGGCAACCTCCAATGCCATTTTGTGTGGATTCGGCTGAGAAGGAGGAATGACAGGATTGCACGTCAAAGGTTCTCGGTAGCCCAGATGCGCTAACAGTTCGTTGTCTTTTCCTATGCTGTTTCCGCACGTATTAAAAGCAGCTAGCTTCGGGCTTTGGGGGTCCACTGCATTGCTTTGGCCCGCCCCCAGCTCGAAGAAACTCGGACTTCTTTGCATGACAGCAATCAGTAATTCCCATCTCCACTCTCTGTTCTCTCCGGAATAAGAACGCTCTGTGATAACCTAATGAAGTCATGCCCTCAGTCGGTGCCCTCGAGACATCGATATCATTGGTGGCATAAGATTCGAACATGACAGGCTTAGCACAAATGCTGGTTTAATTGGTGGGTGCTATCCCTTTGTTATCCGTTAACTAGTTAGTTATGGGGCTTTTGCTGAATAATATTTCCCCTCTCATCTCTAAGGTTTATTAATAAGCAGACACGGACACAGCACCCCCCGACCTATGTTTTGTATGCCGTCATCTAGACTTTGAACATGTTGGATTTCACAATTCCTCAGAATACTCGAGTGACAACTATTCATTTCAGAGAGAATTCTCTTCTCTGTTGAGTAGCTCCAGCAACTGCACGTTTTGCAAGAGGATTGTTAGCATTATCACGCACTGGATTGCCAACTACCCAGGGGATGGGACGAGTTCATTAAATGTCTCCAAGTGCCAAGTAGCTGTGAACCTCGAAACGGACTGGCATACAATTGCTCGAGAGAATGAAGGAGGATGCACCGCGGTCGATGAGAAAGCGTATTCTGATCGGATTAGAATTCACTGCTCTGTTCCAAAACTTGGCACAGGGTGTGAAGCTGGGCAGACACAGTTTCTGACATTCTTTTTACAGAAATATGATGAGCAACAGCCGGCTCATGCGTTCCAATATTGGTCGATGAGAAGCCGTTCCTCCTCTCCTTCTAGAGAGCATCAGCCATATACTGGGCGTAAGAGGTCCGCAGTCGCGGATTTGAGCCTATTTAAGGGATGGAAAAGGATGTGCCAAGTGGAACACGGGACGAAATGCAGCCAAATATTTAAAGGGATACAAAAGATCAGACCCCGCGTTATCGATGTAGATCAGCGATGCTTGGTTTTTGCCGAAGAAGATAAGCAATGGGTCTGTTTAAGCTATGTCTGGGGGCAAGCAAAAACTCTTCGACTCACAAAAGATAATTTACAAGCTTTCTCAATTCCAGGCTCCCTTGGAACTGGTATTCTTCCAGATAGCATCGAAGACGCTTTGCAAGTCACAAAAGGGCTGGGGGAACCGTACCTCTGGATTGACAGCCTTTGCATAATACAAGATGACGAGCAGGATAAGGCAGCTTTCATCTCGAAAATGGATTCGATCTACTCTCTAGCGGTTGTCGTCATCGTCTCCTCCACCTGCGTCGACGCCAACTCTTGCCTTCCGGGAGTTAGATCCGGTTCGCGACGTCAAGAACAAGAACCGTTCCAGATCAAAGACGTTACGTTGGTGCGCTCTCTCGATCCCGTCCTCGGTGTCAAGGTTGATCTTCGCACGGGACGCGCCGCGGGATATCTAGGGGAAACTATTTGGGACACCCGGGCTTGGACTTTGCAAGAGAGGTTTCTCGCTTCTAGAGCTCTAGTTTTCACAGCAGACCAAGTCTTCTGGGAATGTGAAGAGGCATTCTGGTGCGAAGATAGTTTTCGTGAGGTCTCCAACCTATCTCCCGATCCCCACCGCACAAGTCTTTGCGGAGGAGAACTCAATCTTTCGTGGAATTCTGACGTCCCGACATTTGATCATTTCTATCGGGTGCTCTTGGAAGAGTACTCCGGTCGCACCCTGACATTTGATAGTGATGGGCTGAATGCTTTCAGCGGTATCATACGAGCCTTTGAGAGGTCAATGGGGGAGGAATTTTTCATGGGCATGCCGACTGCCTACCTAGAATCTGCCCTTGCATGGGGTCACCGTACCCAGAAGTTGAGACGGAGACGTGGTGTGCAGGCGCCGGGACTCACCCCGGATACCGGCAACCAGTTTCCGAGCTGGTCGTGGGTTGGTTGGACAAGTGATGGGAAGACCAAACTCGCCAATCAAAACCTAGCTACCGAAGGTCTAGGTATAAGGTTCTACCGTGTCTCCGACGAAGGGAAGAGAACTACAGAACTATAGCAGGCTATGAAGTTCAACCGCAAGGTCGATTTGCTTGCTGAAGGCTCCAACCTCGCCAGTCGCTCATCCCGACCATACAAAATCTCCATCGATCACCTGCCAAAGGACCACTCGGTTAATTTAAGCTCAATGCTCTGCTTCTGGACCGCGTCTGCCGTCCTGAGCATGGTGAGGTGGTCTGGCGACAGCAACGTCACGTCTGACAATCAGGAAATGGCCCTCTCCCAACGCCCTGGTAGCGACATCCAAGTGCTTTGGTCCCATATCGCACCATCCTTAGAGCCCGGTGATAGAGTTGAGACCACTGCCGTCGCCCTAAACAGAGGTAGCTGGGACTCCGGCCATAGTGACAATGGGGCTATAGGAGTTATGGTAATCTCCTGGGACGCCGGGGATGTAATTGCTAGCCGTGAAGGATTTGCATGGATGGCGATTCGGGAGTGGACGGCGTTGAGAGGTCGTAGATGGAAGCTGATTACTCTGGGCTAAAATAATCACAGTGGGTCGTAGCCAGAAGACAGGGCCAAACTTCTTTCTTACGGCCCAGAGGTCGTAGCTGTTGTTTATTATTACTTTTGAACCGGTTTCAAGTCGTTCGTTCACAAGAGGGACTCACCGGATTCTTATGTTGTACACAGTCAGGCCATTTAAAGAAAGACCATGAAATTCTTTTCTTCTCAAGCAACAGCTCGATCTTGGGATCTCCGTCCCTCTGCCCTATCTTGTTTCAGTGGGAAGAAGCTGTGAAAATGAATTGCACCGGCTAACTGATCCAGAGTGACTTGTCGACCGAAAATCCCACCCTTCGTCGCCACCACCCGTTTCGCTATTCCAGAGCCTCTGGATCAAATAGGATCGATCAAACCAAGGCGAACAATTAAGCTGGATTGTGCTGGAGAAAAATGGTTACATGCCCGGTTTTGCTGTCGATTGAGCATCCCCACCCAACCCTCTCGTCTTGTGGGCAGTGGGCAGCAGCATAGGAATAACTAGCATCCTGCAAGCAAAAGAATTCGATAGGCACGGAACAGGATATCAATCATATCGCTACCTTACTAGTCAACCAGTCAGTCCATGTCGTAATCTCTCAATTGTCATCCCAACTGCTGGCATTGCTAGCTATTTCCAGGGGGTCAATCCGCCAACAAACTTCCTTTGGCTAACTATGTTGGCGTCTAGGTGACTCTTTTTTAACTCGGGGCCAGCAAATAAGCTCAAGCTGCCGCGGAATCTGCGGGTAACTAGGTTAACAAAAGCGTAAAACTTCGCCGGATCTGGAGGCTAATTACAGTTCGAACATGGTTTTGAAGTTGGAGGGGCCACTTTTCAACAACCATTCTCCATTCAGCCCTCACCACCCGGGTTAGGGGTGGATTGGGATTAAGATTAAGATTCAGATTAAGGTTAGGGTTCGGGTTAGGGAGAAATATGCTAAAATTGCTCAAGAATATAGAGTTAGAAAATGTGTGTCGGAACAATGTGTGAGGCAATGAGTTTGTTCGTAGTTTTTAAAGCGGTCATGGAGGGTCATGGTTTAGAATAGCATAACTACACCACACTGAAGGCTTTCGGGGCCGAATGTTAAAACCGTGTGTGTAGCTGTACGCCACGAAATCTCTGCTGAGAGGTTCCTTTTCTTACTTGACGTTTACTTGAACGCCCTTTCGCTTTGTGAATATTGTGAAAATAAGTCCAACGTCCGAGAGGATGCAAATCTTCGCGGTACATAAGAGATCAATAATTAGATTAGAAAACTAGCATATATCATCCTCACACGCTTCATCAGGCGTGTACTCTCCTCCGTATATCAAAACCACAAAAAAAAAAAAAACTCGAAAATTCTAAGATCTAATTGCCATATGATCTAATCTCCCACCTCAAATCCAACCTGTAAAACTTACTCAAACTTACCCTTTCAAAAAGCTCCCATAATACGTTTCCAACCACTCTGCAGCCTTCTTCCCAATATGTAGCCCTTTGGCTCCAATATCACCCCACCTCCCAATGCTCCCGACATAGCCATCGGGACGGACATTGACAATCACCACAGTATTCTCGGTAACATCTCCCAGCCATTTCTTAGTACATCCTCCGCCAGACATGACATCATCGAGGTAAACAGTCCACCGACTAGCCTGCAACAGAGGCGGAAGAGAGCTGAGCTTCGCCTCGCATTTCGCCGTCCGTGTTACAAGCGCATACGTGAACAGTTTAGACAGGGGGGTATATCGACCCAGTTGCTCGTATTTGTCCATCGGTGCCACGGGGGGGGGAATCGCAGCATACGACTTGTTAGCACGGGCGGTGGCTCGGGAGAGAAGTGATGATGGCGATTGGATACAGTCACAGAGGCTGGCTAGGAAGTCTGTGGCGGTGTGCAAACTAGGGGCGAACATGTAAATGCGAAACTGGCTTAGGAGTGGGATATCGAGTTGGATGTCGACAGGGTTCGCGTCCATGAAGCGGGAGACTCTGGCTGGGGTCAGGAGGGCGCCCGGTTTCAGGAGATGCACCGATGAGCCCGAGGGGAGTGGTGTTGATGAGTCCACCACTTGATTGAGGATGTTGGGTGAGTATTCTGCTCCGACGCCGGAGATGAAGCGGATATTCTCGTCGAAGTTGCGGGAGAGGGCCTCGTCGCCTTCGGCGAATGCCTTGACGTGTTCTGCGTCGAAGTTGATGAGGTCTTGAGCAATTTTCTTGCGTTCCTCCTCGTACGTGGCGAGGAGGGAGCGCGGGGCTAGATCTCGGGCTACGAGGTTCAGCTTCCAGGAGAGGTTGAAGCTGTCGTGCATGCTGGTGTTTGCACCTTGGGCGGCGAGGGCGGAATGACAGTGGCCAGCCTGTGACTAGTGTTGGAACAAATGCGGGAACAAGGAGGTATTCTACAACAGTAAACTTACATCTCCTGCAATAAATATCTGTAGCTCAGCGTCCGCAAAGTGATTGGCAACGCGCTGGCTGACGACGTAGTTGCCAAACCATTCTGTAGCTCGTTAGAATTTTCATATTTTCTCCGCGAAAAAGCCAAATGTTGGGGGGTTCTAACCTATGGACTTCCATTCCAGGGTGTATGGTGCCATCGCCTCTCTAGCTCTGCTCATGACATATTCCGGCGTAGCAAGGGACTTGTCCATCCGACTCCCTTCCTTCGAGCTCAATTCGACGTAAAGACGGGTCATATTGCGTTCTCTTGGGATCCAAAGAATGGAGCCAGCGTGATGTGTGCGGACAGCAACTTTGCTCCACAGGTCGGGGAAATTGGTTTCAATAACGCCTATAATTATTTCCCATCCTGATTAGCCCGGCATGTTATAACCAATAACCAGACACACGAAACCCCCATTACCGTCGAGCACTCCCCAAGAAGCGTTAGTCATTTCTCCAATTAACTTTGCTTCAGGGATAAACGGCCTGACTAGCGACCGGGCTCCATCACACCCCACAAGGTAATCTGCTTGCAACACCCGAGGGGCCTTCGTCGCGGAGTCCCCAAAGACAACGTTGATTTTCCCATCTGTAGTCGATCTGGAACATTCAATGAAAGGGCTGCTGCGTGTGACAGAGAACCCGCGCTCCTCCATGTCTTGGATCAGAACATCTTCCATCATCCCCTGGTGGGCGAGCAGAATGTATGGATCTAACGCTCCGACATGGTCTGGATAATGGATCTTGCGACCGGTCCGCTGAAGAGGCTTGTCCGCTGTAGATTCCTTGATGATGATGATGTTAGGGCGCCTCGCCAATCAAAAGTCATATATATATATATATATATATCTAGAGCTTACCCAGAAAGATATATCATAGACCTTGACGCCTTTTCTCAGAAGGTCGTCCGCGAGTCTAAGCTGTTTGAGAGTCTCGATGGTTTTGGGCTGGATTCCATCGGCTTTTCCAGTCGACGTCTTGTCCGACCTATCATCGAGAAGCGTGGTTTTAATTCCATATCGCACCAGGTTTTCACTGCCTTGCACAAGTTAGCCGCAAAACAAAAAGCAGTTAAAAAATAATTTTTCCTTTTTTGAAAAAAGAAAATCCCAAGGAAGCACAAAAACACAGCATGGTGGAGTATAGCATCTACATACGCAAGCATCAGGCCAGATGGCCCAGCTCCCACCACGGCCACGGTGGTGGATGGCTGGGGAGCTTGCCGCCCGTTGGGGTCCACGAATCCCTCATTATCAGCACTGGGGCCCATCTTGAGCTTCTTCGGGTCGCTCTGGGAATGAGATCTTTTCATGATGGGAGAGAGCAAGCTGTTCTCCGGGGAAATATGAAGAGCAAGCTGGCAGTGGCGACACACCACATGACACGCTCCTAGCCGGTCGCTTATTCCTGTAGCCAGCCAGCCAAAACAGCGGATCTATCAGTCAGTCAGTCCAGTTACTCTTGCACAGGTCTGCTCACTCTTGGTTTCGAGCGGATGACAGCGCCACTACCGAATTTTCCGCTGTCCGTGCGTGCAACAGCGCTGAAGCGGGGGTGCGGGAGTGTGTGGGGGTGTTAGGGTGTATGTATAGGGGTTACGTGGGTGGTGTTTGCCCTGGTTGTGCCCTGGTTGTGTCGGGGCCCGTTGCCACCCGGAGTCTGTCTCCGTCCGGGGGCCCGCGCCCAACTTCCAGGGATCGAGGAGGCTAAGCACCCTGGGGGCCTCCAGTTAAGCTCCACCGCGATGTCAGCAAAACCCACCCCAACCACCCCGTCTGCCTCCCCCCATCTTTGGCGACAGCCAAACACAAGCGTAATAAAAGAACGGTATATTTCCACGGTAACATTTAGCGGTAATACCAAAACCAACCCCAAGCTTCTGTCGGCGTTTTTGGCGTACTGCCCCACTGTTGCTGCGTGCCCGTGCCCGTTGTCGGGGGCTCCTTTGCATGTCCCTGACTATCTACGAGTAGCGAGCTGCCAGTGGCCGGCGCATGTTGACAGCAATCTTGAGTATTGCAACTGAGCTTGAGAAGAAGGCTGGGGAAGAGCAAGGACATCTCTAATCAAAAAAAGAAACAAGGGGGGTGGAAAAAAGGGAAAAAAAACAACTAATCGGTATTACTGGAGCTCAGAAAAACTACTACTCCGAGCAGAATGTCCGTTCTCGAACCATGGCAGAAGATCGTTGCAGAGAAGAGATCGCTCAGAGAACAGGCTTTGCAGCCCTATGTCGTGGATGACATTCATCTCAGGCCTGAGAGAGTGGCCCGTGTTGCAGATAGATCGCGCATCGAGCCCCGTGAAGCTCAGTCAATCACAGAAATCGACAGTGTTGAGCAGTTGCATGACCGCCTCTGCAGGGGCGAATTGACTGCGACAGATGTCACGCTTGCATACATCAAGAGGTTGGATAGTTCCTATACCGGCTCCTCCTTATCACCTTTGCATTGAAGAAAAAGAAATGAAAGAAAGAAAGAAAGAAAAAATGAAGTTTGTTTCCTAATTCATCTACGCCAAAATCACAGAGCAACGGTGGCACATCAACTGGTTAGTTTGTC